AGAAAATAGTTTATTTTACGTGCCCCTCGATGCATTTTTAACGAGGGGATTCTTTTTTGCTCCTTTTTCTTCTTCTTCTTCTTCTTTCTCCTCTTTATTCCTCCGCTTTTCGTCGATTCTTGTTCGAAGAATAAGAGGAGGAGGATTAACCCTTTGCTGTCCAACTCTGGGATTGTTGCGGCAATATTTATTTATGTTTGATTTTTTCAGAATATCGCTTCATAAATAGGTTCCTGAGCTCTTTATAATCTTGTGAGGTGTAATCTTACCTTACGAGTAATTATCTTATGGTAATTTTATGAAACAGGCCTGGAGTGCAAAGGGTTAAGATTTAAAGGAATAACTTCATCCTTGTTGGATAACGTATATTTGCGTCTGGATGCGGCTTCTTTGTTTTGAATTTGGATTATAGTGTTTATTTATTGGAGAAAACAACCGAGATTTCTTCGAGAAAAAGGGAAAAGGGGGGGATGGAAAGAGAGAGAAAGAGTTTCCCATTCGGTTTCATTTTATGTTCTTCCATCGTGCACAGAATTATGCAACACGTTGTTTACAACGACAAGGGGGTACCAGTGCAACGGCTCGTTCCCGGAGATACGTGATTGCCCCCAGGCTACTTCCCATGTCACGCGTACTTACTTGCACCAGCTTTTGTAGGCCTCGCGTACCACCTTGGCAGAACGTGTACGTTTTTTAAGCTTCCGTTAATAGGAATGCAGAGAAACAATGTGTGTCTTTTTTTTAGGAATCATGTTGTCACCGGGTGTTGCTTAAATAATACAAAGATCGACAGGCCATTCGCATTTTATTCCTTGTATTATTGCCACTTTCTTGTACGTGTTCGCCTTTTTTCTTAACTATATTTTTAACATTAACGACAAAAAGCTAGTGTTATAAAAATAGTCGAAAGTTATAGAATATTAAGACTAATAATAACTTGTAACCTTTCTCTTTAATCTTCTCTATCATATCGAAAATTATATTTCTCAATTTCGATTTATACATTAAAAAGCCAAACGCATCTTCACGATTCCTCCGTTCAAGTAGGTGTAACAGTTTCCTTTAACCGAGGTTTATCCTTTTCTGGGCCCGATAGCCGCGATATTCAAGAAATTTACGTAATCGTAAAGGGAACAGGCTCTCCTTCCGCGTCTTGGAGATCGATAGCGATCGTTACCATCCGGCCCATCGAATCGGTATTCCTCGCAGTGTCGTTGGATTATCGGCGACTGTAAGGGCGACCGCGAGTGTCGTTTTCCCACGGTTGTGTGGAAATGCGTCGAGCGTTGGTGACAAGCGTTTCGTAAGGAAGCACTCGTTGCGAAGGTTGGCCCCGTTCGCGCAATAATTCCAGATCGTGCCGTGGCTCCGTCACTGGCGTGTCAAGCCAGCCTGCGTACCACGACTTTCGATTCTTATCGATTCACTTGCAGGAAGAGATCAAACGATTATTTCTCTCGATCATCGTGTTTTCACGATATATCAATATATGTTATGCACACATGGAAGGTATGATCAAATTTTATTATTACGCAATTTTACATTCCCTGCACTACTCTATTTCCATTCCAGACACGCGATACATGATTTTCCAATCAACGCAGGGGGACTTAATTTCCTCGCAAGTATTAGTTGGCAAGCGTGAAATCGAAGATTGCGGATCCCTTTTCCACGATTATATACCTTGGAACACCTGCCTCCACTGTCGTCGGATCCTTCGAGTGCAAGCGCGAAACGACAGTGATCGGTTCGTTAGATCCGTCGATTTCTTGCCCCGGTATGCACGCGGGTTTAAAACGCGTGGCCAGCGCACGTGCACGTCCTTGGAGCGCCGCTTGGCGCCAGCCTGGACTCGCGTAATTGCCGCGTTATGCGCGAGTTCCTCGTCCAACCATTTTTCCGATTCTTTCGTTCGAGGAACGAACCGCTTTTAATGTAAATCTCGATCGCATTTTTACCAAGTATCCTTGAGTTTTTTCCCCCCCTTTTCTGCGCGCCATTTTAATCGTTTCTACTCGCGACGTGTAGAGAATTTTTCCATATTTCTTCCGGTATCAATTCAAAATTCAGTCGAACGTATCCTTAAAATTTTTCGAAATTTGTTAATCTCTTTTTATCTGTGGATTAATTTGGTGTGATTCTCGAGAGAAACGCGATATATTTATAATCTGATATATTCTACGCGCGGAGGAAAAGCAGTAGCTCGACGCCACGTCGGGATAAAGCACGAACACCGCAACAAATTTGAGATACACCTACGAAATGTCAACTAGTTTTCAACCGACTCGCTCCACAGTTTAATTACCATGCGGAAAGTTGCTCGACTCGATCGTTAGCAGCTGAGAAATCACCTTTTTCCCCCCATTCTTGCAAGCATGATCTTTAACTTATACTTGCTCGAGTATATTGCAAAATAAAACAACTTTTACCGTCGTAAATTGTTAAAAGGGATCCTTGAAAATTTCAAAATTTTTATGTTTTATCTTCGTGAGAAAATTCAAGATTGATTGAAAAACCTTTCGCCTCCTCCCTTTTCACAAATCTTCTTCACATTGTGTTTGATAAAACCGGAAACGTGTATCTGCAAGTCCACAGACACGTATAAGAACGTTGAAAAGTCGCGTCCTTGCGTTTCCTCTCGCCACTCCTCTTTCGATCGTCGATCACGTTCACTCTTTCCCCTTATCCTAAAGATCAGGCGCGTTGTGTTTCACCACCAATTCTTCCTTCCAGTATTTTCTTTCCAGGCTGCTCAATAATCAATTCCTTTTCGCGAATTAACATCTCTAAACACGTTAATTGATCTGAGAGAAGAATTCGAGAAACTAAAATTAATTTTTCCAACGAGGGAAAAAGAATTTACGAATGTTCATTTTGTAAGAGCCGTTATCTCTAAAGATGAGAAAATTCCGCAACCTCGATATTTCCGAACTGTCCGAGTTGAAAAAGATTGGACTACAATTGGAATTGTTCATCATCGTGGATGCCCGTTCAACCCTCGATTATAACGGATTCACGAGAGAGAGAGAGAGAAAGAGAGATAGAGAGCGAATCCCCAAAGGCGGTTAATGCATCGCAACAACGCTCGTCTATCTAACGTTATCGCATACGAGACGTCGACTCCATTACTTTTTCCCATGTCTCGTTCATTAAGAAACAATCGGCGCATCACGAGGCCCAATTAATCATTCTCGATCCTTATTTTCTTAATCGATTTCTTATTTTCTTAATTCTCTGATGCGCATAATTTCTGACCGATTCGATAATCATTTATGATAGAAAAAATTAATTAATCATTTATGATAGAAAAAAAAGTATTGGAAATCGACGAGGAGAGGGGGAAAATGATGGAGTAGAAGATACGTAATTGGCACGGAAATTTATCGGCGCGATTGTGTGAATCCAGGTGTTGCGTATCGAATCGGTGAATCGGCCGAGAAAGTGCCGCTCGCGACCCTCGAGATTCTGATAAGATCGTAGCGCGATCCCAGGGCTTCCAGAATCGCGAAATTCCCGGGTTTAATGGGTTTTCGCGCGATTTATAAAGCATCTTTCGCCGCGCTCTTTACGAGACAACCAAGCTCGCCCAATAAGGGACGAGAGGAGAATCTTCTCGCGTAACAGGCGTGCAGGAAATTTACGATGGAATCGAAACGAAACGCTTTACAGCGAGCGTGGAGAAGCGGTGGAGTTATCCACGGTGATACGATCTTTGTGAAATTTACTTTTCACGGTGTAATACGAGTGAGAATGGAGATTAGGTGTTGCTTCGTATATTATGAATTTTACCAACCTATTTGTACTGCACTTAATGATCGATGAATAAGTTCTTCAATTTCCGTTTTAATAATTTCGCGGAATCCCAGATACTTTTTCGTGACTGAGTATCATACAGGAATTCCATTAACTGCCTCTTTTCGACAAACTTTCTTGGCAAAACGATCGTGTCGAATCGTGTCAAGAGCGTGAGAGGAAACGAGGACTGATCGATCAAATTTTCTCGAGAAACATGTACGATGTTATTCGATCAGGAACTTGACAGAGAGGGGAAAATTTTGAAAACGAAATACCTTCCCTTTTTCCCCTCCCCTCGATCTGAAATTATTGGAAAACTGTTGCAATAACTCCGTCTCGCTCAAAGATTCCCTTGGATACGTGGAAGTAACGAAAAATCGAGCTAGGTCGCTCGTTCCGCGCGACCTTTCAACCGGCGGATGACTCGCGACGATATGCAAATCGCCGCCAGGGATAATTAAAACGTCATCTTTAATCACGGCTGCGCGAAGCAGCTCGAAAATTAAAACAAGTTCCCGTTAGCCGGGAATACGAGCCGACCGGGGGACACGATACTCGTCTTGCTACCAGCCTCTTCGTCGATCTATCGATGTCAAGGTTTCACCGCGTTGCTTCAACCGAATTCGCCAGTGAAACTCTCGCGATCTTGCTCGATCAAGTGTACGTATCCACGTCGTAGCTCGTCGATTTCCACCAAATTGGCCGTTCTTGGCCGAGACGATCGTCACGGGATTTATCGCGGTCACTCGGCGGCCGCCATTTCGTGGAAACAATGCGACGGATCGGAACAAATCCTGTTTACTCGTTGATTCGATCCGCCTGTGGCCGGTGTACGTAATTGGATTCCACTTTTTTGGGGATAAAAGGGGATACACTTAATTACTCGGTGGAAACTCGATACGAGGATGGTGGAAACGAATTATTTTTTTTTTTCTTTGTTGAAAATCTTATGTTGAAGAATATAGAGCTTGATGAATCCAGGCTTGTGTGTTATATAATTTTGTTGATTGTTATACAGGATGTTGAAGAAGGATTTAATCATTGTTGGAGTAATTGGCACAAGGTAGCTAGGCAAGAATTTCTATATGTATAATTGATCTTATTACGATCTTTAAATTAATCTTTACGTGTGAGAGAGAAAGCTGTCGAAACAAAGGAAAAGAACGCACCGCATTTAATATTCCCAATTTATCTTTTTGTTCCAGGTGAGTAGCACCACGATGCTCATTCACGATCGACTCTAAAGAACTCTAAAAAATAAAAAAGAAGAAGAAGAAGAAGAAGAAGAAGGAAAGAAAATTTTCCACGAAGAATAGCGCGGTAAGTAATAAAACAATCGTGTCGTATATTATCTTCTCGCTCGTCCGTTGCCGCGATGTGTCAAGGGAATTATCATTGCGCCGATAACTATTCACTCTTTCGTATTCTCTTGGAGCGAACCAACGGTTTTGCAACGGATCGTGCGTGAAAATGTAGAATCCGCGAAAAAGCATTCCTCCTTTCAACTACTATTATTTCGCAAAAGACATCGCGTGAACTTTTGAAGGAGACGAGAGGAAAAATTGCTCGCGCGCGCGCGCACAACGGGCGAAAGGTCGTGGAGAAACACGATAGAAGGACGTAGAAGTGAACGTGTCTCTGGACGTCTCCAAGCGAAACGAAGAGAGTAGGAAAAAGAGGGAGACGAGGGATTGGGTGTGATCGAGAAAAGTATATCCCCCCTCGAGGGAGCACAAATTCCTTTTTCCTCGATCATACTTTGTACTTACTTTGTGTCGACACGCAGAGAGAGAGAGAGAGAGAGAGAGAGAGAAATACGTAATCGATGATTACGATCACAGAAATGATGGTTCGAATGTCGCGGATCGATAATTTCGTTGCGCTACGCCGGAAAACAATTGTGCAAAATCGTGATCGCTCGATTCGCCCGTAGAGAATTATTAATGACATTTCGGCCCGCGGAATTGATTCGTGATCGCTATGCATCGCGGTTAATTGACGTTACGATCAGGAAGAAACGAGAAAGGGACGCGTTCGTTCGATGATTGATCGTTATTTGATGACAACGACGCGTGCGCTATTGGGTGATGGCCCATTGATTAAAACAACGAGGTTCACTGCGTCAAGGATGGAGGGTAATTATGTTAACGAAGAGAGCGGCGAATTCGAAGCGGTGATTGATTTATTATTGTCTATGGATTTTTCTTTTTTTTTTTTTTTTTAAATCTGATATACTGTCGTGATGAACGTTATTAACCCCATTTCGTTCTCAAATTGATGATTTCCCGAAGCTTTTGAAAATTCTGATATAATATTTCTTTAATAATTCGTTTCATCATACTTCGTTTCCGTAGTTATAATAATCATCTTCTTCTTCTTCGAAAATAAGCTTTCGAAAATTCTAATAACATTTCTCGAGTTTTTTAGCTTTCTTAGAGAAGGATTAGATTCAGCGAATAATCATCTTGTACGTGGTTCGTGATGAAAAGAAAAAGCCTCGATCAAGATCAAGGTTTATTCGGGTAAACGTCGGCGTAAGAATAGCAGATGCTATCTATCTACTGCTATAAGACACGTGTATGCACTTTTGTACGTCCCAGATGCATGCTCGTTTCAAGTTATGCCATATGGCGGACGAGCGTTATCGGTGATCTCGATGATTTCTCTGGATCCAGAATAGCAGGATCCTCAGAACCGCGGAGGATCTATACTCGGTGACTTGGCTCGTCCTTGAACTCGTCCTCAGCAAGGTCTGCCTTCCTTTCTCGCCACTCTCGAATCTTATCTTCGCTTCGTTCATTTGCATTCGAATAAGCACGCCCCTCGTGTCTAACAACAACGGATACATACATATATAATTGCTCCTTTCGAGATGGCAAGTCACTTTTCCAAGAAACAATGGTTACTCCTTTTTTTTTTTTTTAGTTTTCCCCAAAGATGTTGAAGATGTGTCAAAGAATAATAGTTAATTAATTAACGATTACGGGATGCGATTTTCTTTCCATCGTGTAATGTTTCTTTAAGAACGATCTTTAAGAAGAATTGAAAGAAGAATTACTTATTTTTCGACTTGAATTGATAAGAAAAATTAAATGATTAGGTAAGGGAGAAAAGTACATCACGGTACATTCCTGCGCGACCCTTCGTTTAATCGAGTTGCAGCTGCTTTAAATCCAGACCTACCGGAATAAGCCAATTATTACAGCGTACATGGGAGAATTTAAGTCGTTGCTCGAGTTAAATACTTTAAATAAAGTCGCGCCGCGCTCGTGAAATCGGTGAAATCGTTTAATAAACACGGAGGAAAAGAGCTGCGATCGTTCGAAACGCAAATGAAACTTCGTGTATATAAATTCTGCAATTAATTATTGATTTAAGATCATTTGTATCTTGAGATATCAGATTGAATGAAATAATGAAACGAGTTTGATGACTATGAGAATACATGCGTATTATATACACGAACAAATTATACTTGATGCATCATTCAACTTTCACTATTTCCTGTGCCAAAATGGAAAAAAGAAAAGAAACCACCAAGTTGTACTTTACTTTAGAGAAATTATAACTCCTATTGATACATATTACATGGAAAAGAAATTCAATTTTCCTTATTACGTCGCCAATATATTCCATCATTCCTATACTTTCGCCATCGCTATACTTTCCACGCATACATTCGCGCGAATTTGCCTACAATAAGTGCAAACAATCGAAACCACCCACCAATCGACCCAGCAATCAATTAGCGAGCCGAATTGCGAAACCCAGATACGAATTAATAACACTTGGAACGGCCACCTCTCCCCCAATTAAATGGCAACGCGCGCTGCACACGTTTTATCCTCGACGAAAGGTTAAACCTTTTCATCCTTTTTATTGGAAATGGAATTTTTCCAAACCCGCCGGCTCCCATTAATAATAATCGTGGCAGGGCGTGGAAAGGGAGAGAGAAAGGAAAATTGGAGGGAAGAATTCGAGTCGTCGTTACGTATACGTATGCGTGAAAAATACGGGCGAGGAATTTCTGCGCCGGCAAGGACGGCGATAAATCATATAATATCTGTAAACGGTGCTTGTAAGACGCGAGAGGGGTCCGCCTCTCTCTTTGCTCTTTCGTATAATACCGGAGAGGAGCGGAACACGAGCGGTCGTATGTCCGATCCTAACCACGTATTACGTGGAACACGTGTACTCGAGGGGGGGGCGAGCGAGTGGAGAAGAAGAGGCGCTACCGGATGTGCAGCAACGGCCGTGCCATCCGAAGGATGGAATAATGCGATTATGGATCGTTCGAGATGAAAGTAGGATCGTTTCAAGTGGGAATTATTGATCGAGGATGGACAGTTAGGGAGAAAAAGTTCGATTATCGAAATTTCTCGTGTAAAAATGTTGATTCGATTGATCGATATACTTTGGATTATATATTTCCTTTTTACACGCTTTTTATCCTTTTTATAATTCGAATTATCTTGGATGAGATTGGATGCCTTCGAATAAATTCCTTTTCTCCGACGAAAGATTTGAACAACGTTTGGCCTGCAATTATCCTGGATTAATTTCGTATTGCCTCGTCCGGATCGAAATCGAAAGAAGGAAGTTTTGATATACCGATCGACAGATAGAAACTTGGAGGCAGGTAAACGTGGGTTCAGAAGGAAGAGGCTGGCAACTGGTCATTAACAGGTTTCACGAGCGAGGATGTGGCTAGACAAGCCGTGCATTTTTTCCCCCTCACCTTTCGATTGGTCGTTTCTTTTTTTCTTTTTCTTTTCTTTTTTGAGAGGAAAAAGGAAATGAACTCGTTTCCTCCTTTCCAGTGGCTGCAACTCGCTCCCCTCGTATCGTTAAATGAAAATTTCACTTGGACGGATAGATAAATCGGGGTTGCGTTAAGAAGATCGACAGAGAAACGAAAATTACCGTCTGAAATCTGAACGTCTTGGATGTTTAAGGAACAAGGTATCTCGAAAGGTATTCCCATATCGATTTATCGCAAAATTCTCGAACGCAATTGCCAGGCTATTAAGCATCTTTACCACATAAGCACGTATACACGTACACTATTAAAACATATTAATATACTCGTCTTATATCCATGACGTAAAAAATGAAATTCACTATAATTACACAAAATAGTTTAATCATAAATATATCTCAAGAATCCCTGATCACTCTCTCTTTAGTTCTAACCAACTAAATTTAATTTCTCAAATCAAAAGCGCGCGGAAAGAATCCAATATATATTTTCCAATATAATTTCCTTCGATTCCTCGTCGCTTCGTTACCAAACATTAACATTCCCTCCACGGTAAATCATCACGGTGGTGGATAAGATTTCATCGTTCTCCGACTCGTTAGGCGGAAAAAAAAAAAAAAAAATAAAAAGAAAAGACATTCGAGCAACGTGTCCTGAACTGGTTCACTGACAAGGTTCGGTCGACACTCGAGCGAACAAACGATTGGCAAGAAAACCGTGCCTCGTCCCTGTGGCGCGCGTCGAAACTAGTTTTCACGTGATGGGAAACGCTCACCCTGCGGATCCTCCTGTCGAGGACCTCACAGACGGCGGCGTGCCTGGAATCCTCTCCAGCGAGGAACTGGCTCGCTTTCCAGTTGGGGGAAAACGTGAGCGGAAAGTGCGCGTTGCACTGTTCGGAAGAAGGGGATGCGCGCAACGAAACCGATGGCCGCACCGTGAGAAGCGATCGATCGATTCGAGATTGAGGCAAGAAATGATTTATCAAGTCTGTGTTCCGATCGGCGGATAGCGTGTAAACAACGCTCTCGAGGAGGACGTGCTCGCTCCAGGGTGCAGGTGATGAAGGCAGACGATAATTGCCACGCTGTTTGCCGAATCCATTAACCATCTTTGCTTAATCGCGAATCGCTCGTGTTTTTGCCTCGCCGATTCCGCCGATTCGATTTCGAACGAGGAAATTATTGCTTCGTGATGACGAAAAGAAAAATATTATTAGGTGGAATTTACTATTGGGAATTAATTATCGAGGAAAACGCACAACAAGCGTTTACAAATTCTCCAATGAATTTTAAAATATATTGGAAAGATACCTTTCTATTCAAAGATTTAAATCGTCTTCGAAATCTACAAACCTACAAACCTGACTGACGAAACCTTTTGTTATTCTCCTTAATAGTAAACCTTCTTTACAAGAAATTCGAGGGAAGAGAAAATTTAAAATTGTCGAGACAATCGATGGCGAAATGTTATCCAGATATAAATCTAAGGTGGAAGATTTTGCCAATAATGCAAACGTAGCCCGAGAGGGAGGGACTCGTTTTCTCCCTCTTCAAGTCCT